CTTACTAGGGAATAGTACCCACATGACCTTAAATTGGGAATTGAAATTATTCGAAATTATCCGGTTATTTCCATTACTACACAAAGGAACGCTGTGGGACCCCAGTTTTGCGTAGGACTTTGGAGTGCTTTCCACCATTCCTAGTGAACGACACTAAATCAATAATCTGGATTTCGTGCGGTCATTGTCTGCTACTTTACCTACTTTGCTGTTTGGAGCCCTTGCTATATGTGATGCATCTCTGGGCGTGGATAGTCTAAGAGGAGAGTGCTTTAGGAGCAGGCAGAGGTGGTGGAAGCTGAGGAGGAGGAGGAGGAGAAAGAAGGCCATCCCCATCTTCGAGGCCTGGATTCCATGCATAAGGCCGCAGAGCCACGTAAGTATTGGGATAATAAGCTACCCATTGGGGTTATATTGGGGGAATCTTGGGATAATGGAAGATAAAACGGAAACTACTATAGGATCCACCAGCCGGTATTTCCAATTTGTCTATTTCCCGATACTTCCAATTATTTCGAGTTGCCTTCACAGGACCCATAGGAGGCTATCCATGATTTGAAGCAATTTGCCTTGGAGATTTCCACCAAGGGACGGCGGAGTGAGGGCATTTCCACATAAACACGGAGGAAAGCATCATAATTCACTCTCCATGGTTTGAAAGGGCATGCTATGTAAAGAATATATAGCATGCTTTTTCCAGGGATGCCGGGACTCATGGGGAGGCCCCATTGTTTCTCTGGATGGAATGGGACAGGCGAAGCTTCCTCCACATTCTGTGTGGGGAAGGTGTCAAGGAAATTCCTCCCCGCTCTTTCTCTCAAAAGAATGGAGTTGAGTCATAGTCAGGATGGCCCCAGATCTTCATTCCCGGAGTCATCCCCAGATATACATGTCAATGTAAAACATCTCAGAACCCTCCAGACACAGTAAGAAAAGGGGCCCACAGCGTTCCACCCTCCAGAACTACCATTCTTACTATTATTGTTATTATATAGTAGTGTTCAGTATGACGTCAAATTTGGAAGATATTATAACTTACACATACGCAATGTGGTGACGTGCTTCTAAGTTCTGTAACAACAGCCCAGGACGTGGTGGGTGCCGCCATCTTACCGTCAGCCAACGAAACCTTTGACGCAGAGTTCGAGTCAACACGAAAGGTGGATGAGGCATGGTAGCTGGAATGCTGCTCTTATACAGGGAACGGATTTCAAGAACTTTTTCGAACACTAAAACCATTCACCTTCAAACTCTGACCTCGGGTTTAGGGACAGTGTTTCGGGTTTTAAGGTTTAGTGGTTTAGGGGTGTGAGGGTTTTAGAGAATAATTAGACTTTCTGCCGGGGTTGGCGAAGGATGCACCCTCGTAGCGAAAGTTGCACGCAAGCTCCATACTAGTGTCCTATGTCCAGCACGTGTATAGCTGCCAAGAGTTTCCCAAGAATATCCCTGAACATCCTATAAGGGAACCCCCCAAACAATCCCCTCGTACCCTGGGGTCCCCAAGAGCCCCCGTTTCCTGAGTAACCGGTAGTTGACAGCGCGTCCCAGGTGGATCTCTTCATCAGCCACACTTGGATGTCAGACCGCTGGTTGAAGTATGCAGCGATTTGCCTTCATTTGAATTTCAAATTGGCCCTGGGCATCTCAATTGGTGCCTGGCTGTCAGTGATATGCTTCCTTGTCACCACTGCAGGCCCTGCAGCCTGGGGGGGTCAGGTATCTTGTTCTGGCGGGCGTCTATGCTCCCACACTTCTCTTTTTCGTTGCAGTTTTCCTTGGGCACAAGCTGAGCAGCCTTGCATATGGGCTTCCTACAGTCTGGTTAGACAAGGCTTGTATACACCAGACCAATGACGCAATGAAAGCACTGCAGGTGAACGCATTGCCTGTGTCTGGGCCACGAAAGTTCAGGGTTTAGGTCTTAGGGGCTTCTGCACTTGGATTTCCCGTTAGGAAGTTTTACAGGCTTTAGGGTATGGGTTTTTCTTTGTAGCTACACAAAGGATCCTGCCTGACAAGGCTAAAAGCCATGAGGCCTATGCACTGCGGGAGTCATTTTTAGATACTTTGGGGGTCTGAGTTGGGTAGTGTGGACTACTTCCAGGTTCAGGGAAGTGTGAACTAAGTATAACCACATGAAAGGATTTCGGGAGCTTATAGCTGGCAAATAGATAGAGTTAACAGGCTACAGTCTCGTACTAGTTCCATAATAACCCTAAACCCTAAACCCTAAAAACCCTAAACCCTATACCATAATAGGTAGCACTGCTTCTGCGGGATATCCTTGCCAAGCCCCTAAACCCAATTCCCTGTCACACTCCAGTGTCCATTTCATGTTCCATTTCCTGTTCCATTTGATTATCCATTATTCTTACCATAAGCTTGCTCCCTATACTGTATATCCCCATATATCATTGCCTAGGATCCCGAACCCTTAAACCCTAATGTAGACCCATGATTAATAAACCCCCTCCCCTTAGTAGGGATTATAGTAGGGATCCAAATATTCAGGCCCTGAAAATGAGGGGGTTAATTAATCATGGGTCTACATGATAACCCTAAGCCCTAAATAGTAGTTTCCATTGTCTTTTCCATATAACCCTATAATCCCGAATTCTTATAGTAGTCCCTAGGAAGCCCCCCCTAAACCCTAAACCCTAAAAGGTGTTTGTGGCGCGCTCTCATGAGATGCTGGTGCTCTGGAGCGAAACGTCTTTTGATCGGCTCTGGTGTAATCTTGAGTCTGGACTGTGACCTTAACGACTTAACGCAGGGCTCCCTTGCAAGTGCTTCCACATGGGTATACAGGTTTTAGGGTTTAGAGTTTCAGTATAATATGCAATGCCTTGTGTATTTATGCACAGCAGATTGTCCATCATTTTCACTGGTTTCGATGCATCTGAATAGGCGGCAAACGCTTGATATTGGTGAGGTGATGAAATCGAAGTTGTCATTTGTTTTCGGGATCCCCTCAGCGATTTCGGGAGAATGCTTCAAGGGGTGTTGTAGCTTGACCAAACGGCACGAAGTGAGATGTAGGGGGCGGAGTTTTAGAGCTTAGGGTTCAGGGGGTTTCCGACCCGGACATCCGAAGGCTACCATGCTTCCAGTAAAGCCTATCATTCTACGAGCGCAGGACATTCCCTCTTCGTAGTGTTTATCCTCGATATCTCTTACCTCAGATATTTGCATGGAGCTAGACCCTCTTGTGGATTATACGGTCAATGTAATTTCCTTCCAGTGCAACTTCTGTGCCCAACGGCCCATCTTATGACATCTTATTATGTCCTAGGACATCTTCGTAAGTTCCGCGAACCCAAACCTGAAGTTCCACACGCAATTCTCGTGTGGAAGCCTAGACCCTAGAGTCTAAACCCTAAACCTTCGGCCGGTCTCCCATAAGCCTGCTATGGCACTCTGCGAATGGGTCTTACGGAGTCCTTGGCCCACCTAGATTGCGTAAGTGCCCATATGCAATAGGCTCTGATAGTGTCACCATTGATTCGTTCAGCGATTCACCATGCGGAAAAGGGGCCTGTTTGTTTTTATTGATATATGTTGGTTTTTCTCCTGGCACCTTTGATTCGCTGTGGGATTCACCATGCAGAAAAAGACGTTTGGACACCGTCTCTTGTTTTCTGTATAACTACATTCTTGGTTTTGTTCATGCTGGATTTATGTTTTTGACTGATTGTTTTTTTGTTCGATGCCCTACCCGAGGAAGGGTGGGGGTGGTCCAGTATGTAGGGTTGTACGTCTTCGGGACATGGACCTTATTCAAATTAACATGGAACTTCTGAGGAGAATACTTGTTGATCGAAATTGCGCGTGTTATCCTATGACTAGGCATCTCCTGCACATGTAGAGAATGATTGCGGGTTCCCTGGCATGAGGGCATTTCTTTCCTTGCGGATACATCTCTAGAAAGATCTCTGGTCATACAAACCCTAAGGGTCCAAGGACCCAAATAATAGGGTTTTAGGGCCCAAATACCGATAATATTATAGTATTTGGGCCTAAAACCCTATTATTTGGGTCCTTGGACCCTTATATAATCCCCACATATCCATATATATATATATATCTCTCTCTCTCTCTCTCTCTCCCTATAACCCCTTTCAAGGGACCCTATTATTTGGGTCCTTGGACCCTTAGGGAAAGGCTTCACTGATGACCGAGGAACTGGCAACCTTCGCCAAATACGGCCATCTGGACAGAGTGCCTGCCTGTAGCCTTCTTGGGAATATTTCCCTGTTTTTTATTGTAGAAACCTAAGGTTTAGGGTTTATAGGGTTCATAAGGAAGTGTTGCAATTTCTATGTTCATTGTTGGTCTTATTGGGAGATTGCAGGTGCGGTTTGGGCCTCTCTGGTTGGCTCCTTGGTTATTGTCGTCCATGCTCTTGGATCTTTTCAGCACCTCGCTCTTGGAGATTCTTGAGATACTCATTCCAAACTGGTCTGCTTTCTTTATGGTGACGCTCAACGCCCTCTTTGCAAAGATATTCTACATGGAGGAAGGATCTAGGCTGGCTAGTTTTCTCGCACCCCTAGCAATCTGGTGCTTGGCTGGCCTCTGTTATTTGCCCGCATCGGTTCCTGGTTGCGTGGCTTTCCAGCGAAAGGTTTGCAATCACAAGCTCATGCTGGAACAAATGTCCAATTTCGACATCCGCAAGGCAAAGTGCTCAGTGCCTAGCGATCGCCAGGTAATCGAAGATCAGGCTCGACGGGCCAAATTCGCTGTGCAATGGACGCAAGGAGACTCAGCGGTGCCAGCAGGAAATCTGCGTTAGACTAGCTCGCCCTGAGGTCGTGGAACTTTGGGTGCAGGATACTTCCTCTGACATTCCGCAAAGCTCGGGAAGGGTTGATGCAGAATCGCAGCAGATCAGCAGGGAAGAGGTTGGGCAAATTGTAAAGAGCTCCAACAAGCCCCCCCGTAGGCGCAATTTCTAATGGGAACATACACCAAAGGGCCCTAATTCAGGATTATGAATGAGCATAATTTGCCCAAAGGCCTTCGACCGCTTCAACGACTACGTCCGGGGGCCTTTGCAGACTGTATTTGTGGAGAGTATCGGACATGAGGCCCATGTGCCATACCACCTGTGTGTGGTTGCGTTCTTGCCTATGAATTTCTATTCGCTGGTGAACACTCTGGGTTGTGACAGCGGTCCTTGCGAAACCTCAGCCCGGAGCGAAGGTTTTGCGTCAGTGGAGTGGTATTTGGGGGCACAGGCATTTGCATGGTTGCTATGCCTGCTCCTTACCTTTCCGCTCACCCACCCCGTTCTCTTAAGGCCAGCTGCTTTTTTCTGCATATCCTGTTTGGGGAGAAAAAGCAGCCCCATCCTTCCTTGTCTATAGCCTCAAGGACCCCGAAAATGCCAGCCCTCTTGAGGTGTATCCGGCTCGTCATGTCCTACAGTGATGGCTACCTGCAGACGGTTCTGGCAGTACTTTGCTGTCCCATCGCCTATGCTTACTCCTACATCTGTGGTGGCGTAATATGGGGATTGACTTATGTTACCGTCAAGGATGGGGTTGCCATGAAAAGGGAATAGCCAAATATATTATAGTCCTTAGTTGGATTGGAGCCCTAACCTTTGGAAATCCCCAGGACTATTCTTCAGAGTGCTTTGCGGCACTTGTGTTCTATCTGGCCTTCCTGGTAGCACAGGCCCTTCTGCTCTTCAGCAGCTAGGCTGTCATTGGTTCTTCTTTGTGTTTTCCATTTGTCGGTCTCAGGGTTCAGTCATTCCGCCTCGCAGTGACCGTCCGTAAAAGAGTCTGTCTAAGGGGCTACTACTACGCCTACAATAAGTCCTCACCCTTACTGCGCCAACTGTTATTGTCCGGGGGAATGACCTAAGGTATACTTTGGTGTTAACCCCCTCCCCTTAGTAGGGATTATAGTAGGGATCCAAATATTCAGGCCCTGAAAATGAGGGGGTTAATTAATCATGGGTCTACATGAAACCCTAAACCCTAAATAGTAGTTTCCATTTTTTCCATTATCCCTATATAACCTTATAATCCCAAAGCCAGGAAGCCCCTTGTCTCCTGGGTCGAGCCAGCTCCAGGATGCACCAAGCCGTAAATATTGCTGTTCAGGCCGGCAAATCTTGTCCCAGTATGAGGAAATTCGCCCGATGCTACCGTCGCATTCTTCTGCATCTGAAGGCTTCTAAGGCCTTCCACCCGGTGTCAAGCACCCCTCCCAACATCTAGATATGTCTGTCGTAGCTCAAACAAAGGGGAGCCGCATCCGATATCAGGGGATAGGGGGGTTGCCTCTGTTCAGAAGCGTTGGTCAAAACGATCGACGTGAGTACTTGTGGCAACTGGCGGTGATAAAGATTTGAATTGTTTTCCTATTGCTATGCCATCTACGTATCATCTTTGTCATAATGTCCCAGACCCCCAAGAGGATCTAAAAATTAGATCCCCTAGAAGACTATGGGGAATCATATAAGGATTATGTAGGGGTTATTATGGCTTTATATAGGGGATCTAAATTTTTAGATCCTCCCAGGGGTCTGGGGTCCTCAAGCGCAGACCGTAGGCTCTGTCGCTTCCAGATGTGAAGCGACCCTTTGCCTGGATATGGGGTGGGCTGTCTGCGCTTGACTTACTTTTGGTTAGCAAGGAATGAAAGAATGGATCCTGATAGTCGTCCCTATATGAATCGCCAAAGACACATGTAACATTCACCCTGTTCCTTCCCATTCCCTAAGCGTCCGAGTACCTAATAATCATATACGTACCCAAAACCTATACTATAATTACTATTACTATTACCCAAAACCAAAGTGCCTAATTATTGAGTACATGGACCCTTAGAACCCTAAACCTTAAACCCTATATATCCCTAAACCCTAAATATCCCTTTAGAGGGACCTAACTTGGAGCCAGAGCAAAGTTGATCGATGTCAGAGTCAACCCTCGTGTATGCCATGCCTGCTGGTCACACTGCAAAATCCGAGCAATGAGTTGCAAAAGGAGTGATATATAGTCCCCCTTAAGTAGATAGAATATGGGGTATATGGGGATCTTATTAAAATATACCCAAAGCCATATTCTATCTAGCTAAGGGGGATTATACCTTAAAGCCTCAATACTGAGCCCTAGGTCCCAAGCCTTTATGTTGCCGAAGCCCCCTTGTTGATAATTATGTCCCTTCTCCATGTGTGTGTGCGCGCGCCAAATTTGTGGTCCCTTCTCTGGACTGTGTGTTAGGTGCTCTTTCATATAGGGCGATCGCGGGCTTTTTGAAATCCCACCCCTGGGACCCTATCAGAATCATGCGATAGTCCGGTGTTATTGTTATAGCGGTTCCTGGGGTAACAAAGCTTCCTCAAACGGGGATCGCACATATGTTGAAATGCGCATGTGCTGTAGCTGCAGATGGTGACTGCATGGCCGGCTGATATGGGAGTTTCGTGTGCCCTGGCACCTTTCTTAAGGAAGTCCCATCCTTCTGGGTGGGCCCCACGACCCAGTCTCACCCGAAATGCTTCATAAGTTACTGGTTGTTAGTAGGGAATGGAGCCCACATATTTCCCCCGAAATGTGTAGTTTCCATTTTCTGCTTCATTCCTCGACTTCCTACTAACAATCAGCAAGAGAAAGTCGACCTGTGCCAGTGAGGCAGCAATCCATGCGTGTTTTGCGGTTTGCTTTGCTCGACGTGTTGGTTGAGGGTTTAGGGTTTAGTGCAGGCGGGAGGTGGAATGGAAGAAAGCGCGTAAATTGGTATAGGATTTAGCATTTGGCCAGGGTGGTGAAGTAGTAATCAGGTAGCCCTTCCTGAGCTCATACTGGGCCCACAACTTTCCCAAAGTTGTGGGTGCCTCACCAATGAAGCCAGTTATGATGATCCCCTGACAAAGTTTATAGGGTTTAGGGTTGAGGCTTCAAAGGAATTAGGGTGACCCCTCGGCACCCTCGGGACATGTGGGTAATATCTGGGGGATATATTGAGTGGGCTTCCTACACACGTATGGAGTTATGTAACTTCCATGTATCCCTTAACCAAGGGTAGGTTTGAGGATATTTGATCATTTGTAGTGTCCTAAATTCTTCTACAACCCCTAAACAGCCAAAAAGATTTCATTCTTATGGCGTTAAACCCTAAACCCTAAGTCCTAATCCCTAAACCCTAAACCCTAAACCCTAAACCCTACACGTTTAATGCATTTGCCATGTCCAGGCTCGCTGGAGATTTGCCTGGGCAGTGCTTCTGGTAGGTGCCTCCGACGCCTTTGAGCGAGAGGATGTGGATTTTAGGGGTTATATAGGGGTTATATAGGGTTTATATAGGGATTATATAGGGATTATATAGGGGGTTATATAATATAGGGATTATATAGGGGTTATATAGGGTTATATAGGTATTATATAGGGGTTATATGGAGATAACGGAAAAGAAAATGGAAACTACTATGTAGGGTGTGGATTATGGGGATAGAGGACACTGTTCCATACGTGGACCCTCCATCTACTCTCTTTTTTACCCTAAATAGGGAGCCTTTACTCCCTGTTTAGAGGGTACAGGGAAGGTTGTGGTAGGGAGGTTGTTGTGGGGTTCTATGGGGCGATTTCAGGTTTTCAAGTCTACCTTTTGGTATTCTTTGCAGGGGTGGGCCTTAGTCTGGATGACCAGTCAAAAACTTTGCTGTAGGTACAGGGGCCGGCGTCGCGACAACTTTCCTATGTAACCAGGAGGGTGATGGACAGCTCTGCAACTTGAAAGCCCTTAACTTAACCTTGCATAGCTCAACCTACTAAGCCTTAATTCGTGTCCTAAACCACAGAGCCTATGAACCCCAAACCATGAGTCCATTGGTTAAGGGCTGATAAGGAGAAATATGAACCTTCCAGTCCCAGGTATTTTCGGCCTTGCCTCGCGAGCCTTTGCCGCCGGCAGGGCCCCTGTGTCCAGACGAAACCTGGCTTAAACTGGCTTAACTTGGGTCAGTCCCCCTCCCAATAACTGTCCTTAAAGGGACCTTATTAAGGGGGTTCTTATAACTCCTAGAACCCATTGTGGCAACAGGTACTGTAAGGGGGAATGACCCCAGGCTTAACAGTTTTTGGTTTACTTCCCCTTAGGGTCCAAGTATCCAAGAATTAGGTACTTGGGATTAGGGTAATAGTAATTGTAGTACGTACAGGTTTGGGAAGTATATGCTCATTGAGTACTTGGACCCTGAGTGTTATGGTAACCAATGTATTCCCCTAAAACCTGCTTTGCGCTCACATGTTGGTTTCTTTGCCTCTTTCAGGGTCTAGGATGCTCTAGGCGGGGTCTAGGGATCACAGGGATTACAGGTCGGTTTAGGGTGCACTTGGAGGGTCAGGGGGACTTAGTGAGTCCCAGTGAGTATCCTTACAGCTCCTGGAAGCCATGTACTAGCCCCACTTATCTCCGTCATTAACCCTAAGGGTCCAAGGACCCAAATAATAGGGTTTTAGGGCCCAAATACCAACAATATTATAGTATTTGGGCCCTAAAACCCCATTATTTGGGTCCTTGGACTGTTAGGGT